TTTTAACTTCTTGTAACCCTACGGGCATCAGAAAAGTGTGTTTCTGGTAGCCTTATTTGCTGTTTTGTTTTGATTCTGCGTTCCGCTTCGCATCGTTCCATTAGATTAGCAGGGCTCAAACTAAAAAGTGTTCGGATTAAAATCGTTCAGATTACCGGGGGGTCCACGGCATTTATTGAAAATTCCCACAATTTTCCTTAAGATCATGGAACTGTCTGATGTTCTGAGATCTTGCTGGAAGTTCCTGCCATTATCCTGAAGTCTTAGAAACTTTGATATTCACGGACCCATATAACACATATTCTTGGAATTATGTTGAGTAAACTTCTTTACAACCAAAACCAGTCATACAAAGGTTACATAAACTGTTATATAACTTCTGTGATGCATGGAAAACTTGCTTTAGAATCATTACACTTCCCTAAACCTCCCTTAAGTATCCTAAATTTTCCTAATGTGCATACATCTTTCCTGAAGTTCTCTCCAATTTACTGGATTTCTTGGAACATCCTGAAGTTGTCAGAACTTAAAAAAAAAAACTGTTCTGAGGTTCTTTGATGCTCTCTGTAGTCCTTAAGTTTCTCCTGAAGTATGGAATTGTACTTCCTTGGTGTTCACTGAACTTCTGAAAAATTCCAGAAATTTCAAAGTTTTCTAAAATTCCATAAAATTCTATGGACTTCCTGAAAAAAAAACTGGAAGCTTTTCTACATTTCTTTTCATTTATTTTCCTGAAATAAATGGAGCTTCGATGATCTTACCTGAAGTTCCCGCAATACTTGAAACTTCGATCTTCCCTGATTTACTCGAAACTTTTCTGTAGCCCTTGAGTTTCTCCTGAAGTTTTTGGAGCACATCCTTGCAGTTCTCTGAACTTTTGGGAAATTCAATTACTGGAATTACAGTTTTCTAAACTTCTATGGAGCTTTCTGAACTTCCTGAAAAAACTGGGAGCTTCTCTTTCTATTTTCCTGAAATTAATGGAGCTGCGATGATCCTACCTGAAGTTCCCGCAATACTTGAAACAACCGTGAAATTTACAAAACATAACTTTAAATGTTTCTGCATCCTCCTGATGATCTCCGAACTTTCCCAAAGTCAACTGGAGTTCTACCGGATTTCTGCGAAGTTTCAGAAGTTATCGTTTAAAACATTAAAATTTCACTGGAATTCTATGGACTTCCCTAAAATTCCCAGAACTTCTGTTCCTGAATTTAAAACGAAATAATAAATGTAGTTTTAAGATTTTCTGTGAAGTACTGGAATTCATTCAAAGTTCTTGAAAATGCACTCAATTTATCAGAACTAATTCTTCAGGAGCCTTAAACTTCTCCGAAAGTCTAGACATTCCTGACGTTTTCGCAGTTTCCCTGACGTTATTAACTTCTCTGAATTTCTAAGAACTTTTAAAAAATTAAAAAATAGCATCATCATTATTTTCTTATTGTTTTTCAATAATTCAAGAGCAAATTTTCATTATGTCGTAAGTAACATTCGCACCGATCCGAGAAAAATAAAGTTTTGTTTTGATGACCGAAAAGTTATTCCTATTTCCAATTAAACACATATAATCTCATAGTGATAGCAATGTTTAACATATTAAGCCGGGTTTTAATCATACAAATGCAAATCGCTAGCTTTCATGCTAAAAAATACTGGTTTTTGAGTCAAAAGATATTATACGTCGTTTGGTGGCCCCTATTGTTACTTAAGTCAAAGTGTATTTACCAGGATATTCGGGAGAATTATCAATTACGTCTCCTTACGTGCAGCCCATTCATCATTTTAGGACCACCGAAATCATCTAAGCAACAAACAGTTCTATTTATTCACTTTAATACTGAGAAATCGAAACGACGAACGTACACTTTTCACTGGTTTCTCTGTTACTTAAGGCAAACGGCATCTCCATAGATATCGGGTGACTTAAGTAACATCGAAAACTATTTTGATCGGAAGGTGATTACGTCAAAAAGCAATTTGACTGGTAAATAATTTTTAAAATGGGATGTGATCCTATATTCAGACAGTATATTAGTGTAATAGCAGGAGCATCGATTGACACTGATAGCTCGACTTTGTTTACCTTTGTTACATTCGACGTAATGAAAATTTGCTCTTGAATTAACCATCATCTTAATTACTTTTAATAAAATTTTCTGAAATAAGAGGAGGATCAAACCAGGATAAAATTATTTTGAATTTTGGGACCATTTAAATTACAGCACTAGAAAACTAAAAAAAAGTAACCTACTAATTCTCAGAATACAACTTGAAGGACTACTTAGTAATCTGTGTATGAGCCATTGTTTGGGATAAATTCAATTAGTTGCGTTTTCATGGACAAAATAAGTGTTTCAAGGGTATCCTGCTTAATCTGCTCCCAGCATTCTTAAACTTGACGTTTTAGCATATTTCTCGCGCAACACGAGAAAAGGGCCTATCATTGTTGAGCGATTCTCTTAATCAATTTTTTCTTTCGCAAATAACCCGACTGCAAATGAATTTCCCATTGAGTATGTTGTTTCAAGCGTAAGCTAACATGCTTACGAGCTACGAGCTTAGTGAGAAATTCTTTTATGTTGCCGTGGTAAACCAAAGAGAAACTCGATGAAGAGAATCGATCGAGGATAGGCCTTTTTCAAATGTTACGCGAGATTTACGTTATCGAATTGTTTACCATTTTCGTAAACGCGACGAGAAAGTATAGACCAAAGGTTTCCGGTAGGATTTAGATCGGGAGAACAAGCTGGCAAGTCGAGAACCTCTATGTTTCTATTAGGAAATTACACCTTAGCCAGTTTTGGGTTGTGGATGCAGCATTTGCTTGTTGGAAAACAAAGTCAGGACCCATCAATCCCGTGTTCGATCAAACTTATCTACAACATTTCTATTCTTTCCTCGAAAGGAAAATGCTCCCAAACCAGTGTTTCACTTCCAAAGTTCCTGCTCATTTTTAAATCTGGTGTTTTGCACAATTTATGTCCGTAGCATTCATTGGTTCAGGATTTTTTTTTTTTTTTGCGGAATTGGAGCGAACTTATGCCGTTCTGTTATGTTGGGCTTTCCTAGTATTTTAAGCCATTCCAAGTTCTCGCTGCTTGACAGCATTTGGTGCACACGACGTGAAGCTCCAACTCCGCGCGCATTTTTGATGCTGTTCTGTTCTGATTCATTGCAATTCTACAAATTCTCCTTGTATCCATTGGTATAAACTTACTTTTCCTCCAACGTTTCTCGATGAGGCCACAGTTCTCACCATTTTCAAGAAGCCGTGTGAGATCGGAAGAGTTTTCGACCGATTTATCTATTAGAAGGACCTGCATCATGGTAGGCCTAGATGTTTACCTTTTCTTCAAACGTAAGAGGTTTGAAACGACCACTGGCTGCTAAATTACAGGGAACACATCCGATTTTACTGCAATTTGAACAAAACTTAAGTGAACCCTACACGGCTGATTTTATTGACAATATAATCGTATTGTCAATACATTCTATATTGACGTCAATATATCGATATTGACAATATGTCTGTATTCACATCATCAATATTATTGTCAATAATTCCCCTTCGTGTCAATATATTGATACATGTGGGGTTCGCTTTAAGCAAACCCCACACGTATCAATATATTGACGTGAAGGGGAATTATTGACATTAATATTGATGATGTGAATACAGAAATATTGTCAATACCGATGTATTGACGTCAATATTGAATGTATTGACAATACGATTATTGTCAATAAAAGCAATCGTGTAGGGTCCACTTTAGACCTCTGCTCGATATATTATAAATCAAAACAAATACCTGTCAAATGCGAAGCAAGGTGCGTTTTAAACACGGTGGTGCAATTTATATTGTGTAGGGGCAGGATGTGATGTCTAATCGGCCTACTGAACATCCATCAATGAGATGTAAATGTGTAAGGCTCAGTGAACTTGGAATTTCTTTCGTTCTCTCGCTGTTTAAACGGTTGAAGGAGTGTGACGTCAAACTCCGTCATCCATTTAATCAGCCGGAGATCGAAACAGACGACAAATTTACTGGGCCTCACCTGATTACGCTCATTGATTTTCCATATGTGAATCTGGTTCCAAACATCAACAAACCATCGTTGCTTATGGCTTGTTGTCGTTTGGAACCAGTTATGCGAGGTAGGCGACGATTGTTCGTATCTGACAGTCACCTCTCCCCCTTGATATCTCGCACCGGTTTGAAGAATTCCGTGGCTTAAATGTTAATGCTCCACAAAACTACCTGCATAACCAATTCAACTAACCAAATATCAAAATGCTGATATATTGACATGATATGATGGTGATATTTTTGTTTCGCTGAGTATCAGCAATATCAAGGGTCTATAAGGCAATGTGGGAGGAAATGTATGTAATGTCAGCCTAAGTGTCCCTAATTTGGGCCCATACATAAACTCAGCAATCGACTAAATTTTCAATAGCAACCAAAAATATCCATTAGTACCGTCCCAATGACGCGTTCATCTAGATACAATTGATAAATAGCAGATTTTTAGCGATGGGCCCAATCTTAGATCCATAGGCCAACATTAGAGCCATTTCCCCTATGTTTATTTACCAAGACTGAAGACCACAGTTTTCTCCGTGAAGTTGCATACCTTCCTCTTATAATTTAATCTTTATAAATCAACTCCTTAATATAAGCGGCGCCGGTGGTGTAGTGGTAAGCGTGATTACCTCTCACCCCAGCAGGCCTGGGTTCAATCCCAGTCGGCGCCGCCGGGATGTTCTGAGACAAAACATCTCTGATCACGCCTTCCTTCGGAAGGGAAGTAAAGCCGTTGGTCCCCGGTTCATGAGTTGATGAGTCGATAGGTAGGGTCCAGGTGTGGGAGCTGTCTCCCTGGCGTCGGTAGCATTGGTGCTCAGCACGGAAAACAAGATCGACGGAAAACAAATCAAAGGAAAAAAAAAAAAAAAAACTCCTTAATATCTTCCAAAATGAAACTCCTGTACTCACCATTCAAACATCTAACACTGGGCCCCCAGATATGGTCTCCAAAATCTACCGGTCTAAGGCTTCAGTAGCGTCGTCCAAACGAGCGTTGAAGGTCACGCGTCTTCCAGGTGAGATTCACACAGCCTCTTATTTCCCGTCAAAACAAACAACAAAAACAAATCCCTCAGCGAACCCACTCACACACATGCACCGCGTCTTCCGTGAAATTGTGCAATTTTGTCGCACTCACTTGTCTGCTTGGGGAATGAATATTTCGAAAACCCTACTTTTTCCTGTAGCTGCCACAACTCCTCACGGCTAAATATCAACCAGTTTCACAACAGCAAAAAAAACAGCACCAACACAGGCAATGTGCTTCACAATCGATCGCTTTTCTTGTGTTATTTTTTTCCACTTGCACTTCTGCGATCTTTCAGTCGTCGTCGTCGTCGTCGTCGTCGCCCGCGATCCACCGAGCTCACGTCACAGATTACGCGATCGAACACCGAGCGGTGGCCTGTTTTCGGCTGCGAGTCCGATGCGGATACGTGCTTTACCTTGGTTTGGACCTAAATGCGAACCTCTGACTAACCGTATGGAAGAAGTGTCGTCCGGTGCACACCGAAATCGATGAATGGATAAAGTAAACACCACACTTTCACTGTCCAAAATTTTTGGATGTACAAAAAATAGCGCTGCCACGTACGTGTCGAACTGGTATTCGAATCGCTTATTAGTCAAATGTTAATCCAATTCGGAATGAAAAACCTCGATTTATTGAAGGACGTGCGGTTCGCCCCTTGAACCGATCTCGTGTCAGGGTGGGGGTCGGAAGAATAGACAGTGCAGTCGTCGCCAGAGTTTCAATCACGTCCGAATGCGTCGAATGCTCACCGTAGACTGACGTTCCGTGTTCCGTTCCGTCCGTGGTGTGGCTGTGTAGAGGTCTATGCGGTTGGTTGCAACTCTTTTGCTTTGCGGCTGGGCTGGGTCGGTTCAACCCCACATGTGCGCGCATTCATACTTCGCTTACAGGTCTCTGCGATTGCTGGTTGTTGGAGAGCTTCACATACGAGCCGAGCAGCCTGGTCAGCATGGCATTGATTTGATGTTGCGCGCCAAACGAAACCAGCATGGCCTGGGTAGCATAATTTGCGCCGTCGATCGATGGAGGAAGACAGAAAAGCAATGCGATCAGTGAGAGAGTGTTACGAACGAACGAGAGGAAGAGAGTACTCAACTCTCTTTTAAGTGCAAGCAAGGTTGGATGCCGTCATAGTGATATTCGGAAGGAATTGCTCACTCTGGACGGGGCACAGCCAAATCTAAATTCAGGCGTCTTCGGTAGGGTTGCTCGAATGGGAATAACTAACTCAGTGAGTGTCTGTTTTACTTATTCTGAGACTGTCTTGGCCGGCGGATCTCAAGAAATTATGATGTGTTGCATGCCAAATAAATACAAAAAAACAGTGTAAAAAACCGCGTTATTTTAAAAATTGTCGTAGGATAAAGCTCTAATTCATAGTAATCGCCTAGTTCAGCTACATCGAGTAGGAAACATCAATAACATCAATGATTTCTACGTGGACAAATCAATAACACGTTAGATTAGCTACAGTTCAAAAGCTACATACACACTTAGAAATATTTACCAACTTGGGTAATTTTTACCGAGCTTTCAACAGCTGAACGTTCGGTAAAACTTTGATCCTCATTTCAAAAGCTATTTCCCTAAGCTTTAATTTCAAAACACTGTCAACCTTGTTTAAATAATCGAGTCGGTGAAGTTTTCCATGTTTTGGAGCTTTAAAACTAATGAATTCAAATGATTGATTTCTACCGAACAATTCACAGCAACAGAATTCAATCTCGTATGACGGAATACGCCTAATGCACCACCAACGTAGAGTGCGCCATGCGAGTTCAAGAGGAATTGTCAACCAAACCGTTTGTTTACATCAGAATAAGGATTTTTCACAACGCAAATTAAAGCATTTTTCATTGAACATCTTGCCAATTTCCATCAGTAATTGTCTTATTTTACGATTTTCCACAACAACAAAAATCCTGAACACCAGCAGGATCCTTGCAAAAACGATACAGAATTAAATTTTTCAACTGTAGATCAAGTTTTGGAGCATCTCAGATGAATCAATTAACCACTTCATTCGAGCAGCACCGCCGTCTCTGTGCCCACCTCGGCAACAAGAACCGCCAAACCGGGCACACCTACGACCAAAACTACCACTTCAGTTGCCTCGCCAGCCACACCCAGAAACCTCAAAAATTCGGATGAAGTAGTTGACATCAGCAGCGATGTCTCCATTTCACCGGAGAACGCCAGCGACGCGACTATTACTCCTGATCTTAGCCCGAACCCAAACACCGAAGTCCTCCAAGCGGCCGAACTATGTCCTCAGCCCCCCGAAACGACCACCCCGAATAACCCAGCCTCCCAAGATACCGAAGTCCATTCGGTTATCCCGTAGCCACCTGATACCGTCTGAACGGAAGTTGCTGCTTCCGTTCAACGGCCACCGACCACCGACTGACACTGGACACTTCTAATGGCCACTCCAACACCAGAATCACCGCAATCTATCAACCACCGCCAAACAAGTTCGACTTCTGTCTCGGGCAGCTGAGGCACCGTCGAACTGGAAGCCAAAACTCCACCAGAATCTTCGGACACCCCTCCGCACCCGAACCGAGCGAACGAAGACCACTGTGCATCGAGTACATGGGGCACCTGCAGTGCGGATGTGATAGCCCCCGGCATCCCGCGCCCCGTCGGTGCGGACGCCTTTCCAACACCGGAACTGACGGCAACCCCCCCGGCACCTGGGTGGAACTGCAAGAGGGACGGACAAGGGTGGCAACACCTATTCCCCTGAGGAAAAAGAAAGGAATCGAGCTACAGGAAGTTATCGGGACGGACAAGGGATGCTACGCCCATACCCCGAAGGACTTCGAGGGATGCTGCTCGAGCCGACAGGTGGTTCTTCCCGATGTGCCATCTTCGCATTTGTTGGATGGAACGCCTCCACTTATCAAGGGGGAACTCTGACGGACAGGGTCTCGGTCGACGAAATCGACGCCACTAGACACCGTAGATGGAATGCCTACACCTCTCCTCAACGGGGTTAGGACCTACTCGACATGCAGTGAGCTTACCATCTCGTACCCCACGCCTGCACTGCCCAAGCGGGTGAAAGCTGTTCTCCAGTGGAATATAAACGGATTCCTTGGCCACCTAGAGGAATTGGAGCTCCTTTGTCCAAAGCGATGCCCCCTAGATAATCCTTAGTCATCGTGGTGTAATGGAGCATTCGTTACCAAGTTCTTGACCTCCAAACCGGCCTACCAATCGTTGGCGTTTACCTCAAGAAAGCCGCTAACTTAGCTATCGGCTGTGCGTACCTGCCCTGCGGACGGATAGCCAACTTAGATGGAGACTTAAGTGCAGCTATTTCCAAGCTTCCGGAACCGCGGCTCATCGTCGGCGACTTCAATGGGCACCATCCGAACTGGGGCAGTCTTACAGTTTTCCGTAGGCGTGGCCCCTCCAACGGACTCGGAGACCCAAATGGCGCTACGAGGAAGCCAACTGGGACGCCTTCAGGGAGAAATCCGACGCTCTCCTTCATCAAAGCTATCCAAACGACATCTCCATCTTCACGAAAGTACTCTACGAAGCTGCAACAGTATCTATCCCAAGGACGGGTAGCGTACCTGGGCGAAAAGCCCTACGTTGGTGGAACGAGGATACCAAATGTGCGGTGAAAGCACGACGCTTTACGCCGGCTTAAACGTCTCGCCTTAGACGACCCTGGTAGGGAGGAAGCGCTGAAGTTTTACCGAGAACGCCATCACTCAATCGACGAATCCCAATCGTCGAGTGAATTGTGGAATCGCGTCAACGTTCTGAGTGGCAAGCGGCGGTCTACTCCATCTACTATTCAAGCTCATGGCACCTCAGTGGCTACGACAGCGATTTCGTCCAGCGCGTCAAACCTTCCACAACCAGCGACTTGCGAGTTCCACCCGATGTTCCTGCTCTCCAGATCAACGAAGCTCTTACCTTCCGGCAGCTTCAGTTTGCCCTCGGCAGCAGTAGTGGTGAATCTGCCGGGCCGGACGAGATTGGATACCCGGTGTTAAAAAGGTCTCTCTCGACGGAAAAACGAGGCTACTCGCCCTCTTCAACGATCTATGGCTCATTGACTCGTATCCGGACCTCTGGAAACAAAGCTTGGTAGTGCCCATTCCGAAGAACAACACGGCGAGTGAAAAAGCCTCTTCCTTTAGGCCGATTGCACTCACAGCATGCGTTCCGGCAAGGACACGGCTCCTCCACTTACTTTGCAGCCCTCGGGAAAGTACTTAAGGAAGCCCAGGACAACGGTCACCATGCGGATTTAGTCTCCCTTGATATTTCAAATGCGTTCAACAGGACATGGACACCTGGTGTCATTAGGCAGCTCATCGGCTGGGGCCTGGAAGATTACATCACACATTTTGTACGGAACTTCCTCCTTTATCGTACCTTCCAGGTGACTGTCGGGAACACTCGCTCCGATCCGTTCCCCGAGGAAACTGGAGTGCCCAAGGGATCCGTCATAGTGGTATCGCTATTCCTGGTGGCAATGAACGGGGTATTCAGCCGATTGCCCAAGAACGTGCACGTAATCGTTTATGCCGACGACATATTCATCGTCGTAACGGGACGAACGGCTAAGCGGACCAGGAACATAGCTCAAGCAGCAGTCTCCGCCGTCAGCAGGTGGGCGCTTTCGGTTGGTTTCCAGCTCTCCGCGCCGAAGAGTGTACTCGGGTCATCTGATTTGAGGACCACCGATCACGATCCAAGATCATCCGATTCCGCTCAAGAAAACAGTGCGTTTTCTGGGGGTAGTACTGGATCGCACCCTAAGCTTCAACCAGCACTTCAGGATGGTGGAAAAAAAAACTGTCGTAGCTGCATCAACATAGTCAGGACAATCTCCCGCCAGCATCGCTCCAGTAACCGTGAGATCCGCCTTCGTGTCGCTCGGGCTGTTATCGACAGTCGACTTTTCTACGGCTTCGAAATAAGTTGTCGAAGCTCAACCACATCCTCACTCCGGTATACAATACCTAAGTACGCATCGTATCCGGCCTTCTCCCTTCCACGGCTGCAGACGCCGCATGTTTGGAAATCGGAATCCTCCCTTTCCGCTATCGATTTGCTGCAGCCATTGCTATGATAGTCGCTGCCCTCACTGCTAAGACATTCGGGAACGAAAGGGTCTTTCTCCTCAACGAGGGGAACAGAGCCCTCCGCATTGCAGCCAACCGTGACCTCCCCCCGGTAGCTAGGGTCCACTGGCATGGAGAAAAGAGTTGGCGATCAAACGTCGTCAAAATAGATAACGGGTGTTCAATAAAAAATGAGATTTTTTTCAGTCATATAGCTAGTAAAAAATCTTTTTTTTTTCAACGAATTCAGTATTTTTTGTTAAAAACATAATGTTTATTCTTCAAAAAAACGTCAATGAATATTGGAGAAGGGGCCCTGGTCAGCCGTACGTCGCAACTTCCCAACAAAGAATAAGAGCTTATTCAGGCAAAAATATGCTTCTTCAGCTAAAAAATTGCTTATTCAGCCTTTATTCAGCACAAATTGTTTGTTGGGTTAGTCGCGATGCTCTCACAAGGGCGCTGGACGGCACTGAAATCATTCTCATTTTTTATTAAACACCCGTTAGGCGGATTAAGGTGGATTCCAAGCCGGAGATAACTCTGTAGCCAGGACTGGCCACTGTCGGTTTTACTATAACTTCGGCGGCGGAGGTCCCTTCCGCAAAAGCTGTGCCATCTGCCATCTCCCGGCCACCGTTGAACACGTCCTCTGCACCTGTCCTGAATTCCAGGACCTCAGGGAATCCTATGGGATCACCTCCAGCATCCGGAACCTACTCGGAGAGGATTCAGCCGCTGCAGACGCCCTGCTAGTTTTCCTCAGGGAAGCTAACCTATACCATGAGATCTAGGAAAGCCATAGCTGTTATATTCGTTTGTATACTCGTTCATTTGTTTATATGTTTAATTTCTTCTGACTGTCGGGACGGCACCGCACGGGATGAGCCTTTGGACCTCGTCACGGTGTCGTCTCGTTCAGTTTTGTGTTATTCATTTTGAACTTGTTGTCGTCTTCGTGAAGAGCCAGGAGAGCTGTCACCTTACAGCCTCAGCAACCGGAGGGGCATCACATGGGATGAGTCTTCTGGCCCTCATGAAGGTGTTCCCCCCAGGCATTGTCAGGAGAAACTCATTTTAAGCCTACTATGTCCAACAACTCCGTAGGAGGTTCTCCTTCTGAGACCTCAACAACTGACTAGAGATGAACTAGCCTAAGGCTAAAAATCTCTTAAATAAAGAAAAAAAAAAAAAAAAAAAACTCTGTAGCTTTGAGACGTTCTGTTGCAGAGCTTCTCTGGTCGGTTTTTCCGGGGCACATTCATTGTTTTACGGACAAATCGCGGTCCTGGGCTGGAGTTGGACTGGGAGTGGCAGGACCGAACACTGCAACGAGTCAAAGTCTACCGGAGGAGTGCGCCGTCTTTTCCGCTGAAGCCGCAGCTATTCTAGACGCAGCCATCACTCCGGCAGACCGATCCTCGTGTTAACTGACTCACACAGCGTCATCCAAGCGCTGGAGGCCGAAGCCCCGAGCCACCCCTTGATACAATCCATTACACGGTACGCCCCACCTTCAACCGTCTTTACGTGGATCCCCGGACACTGCGGTGTTCCCGGAAACGAGGCTGCAGACAGGCTGGCGGGATCTGGTACATCCCGTCCCCGCTACACCAGGAACGTATCCCACCTAGACGTCAGGCGTTGGATTGTGAATACACACTTAGATACAAATCATGTAAATTTAGGTGCTCTGAGACATATACGAGCGACAATTTTGACCTAGAATAGAGTCATGATTGACGCGAAATTCAGCTCAATCAAACGTACTTTTCGTCGAGTGACGTACTTTTCAGTCTCGGAGCACTTAATTTTACATGAAATATTTGTTTACGTCTGATGCTTTATGTCAAAGATGGATTAGTTATTTCTAAGTGTGTACTATTATGGAAGCCTGGCAGCAGGCATGGTTCCAGTCGCGGACCACTTTCCTGAGGAAGATCAAGGAAACCATACGCTCCTGGCTGCTATATCCAAAATAGCCGAATTTTAGCTAATAAACAATTAAGTAAGTTTCATACTAATCGAAGAAATTTAATTCAAAAATTATATTTGTTTGGTGCACATCTACCCTATTTAGAGGATCTTTTTCATTAAAACATCATTTTAAAATTTGTTCAGGTTCTTTCGAACAAAATTCAAAACATATCTTGGTACAAAAGTTTTCGAAAAATGAATTAAGAATATTTACAAATGTTCCAGCTGTGTCCTGCTGAAACCAATATTCATCTACTCAATAACTTCAGATTACGCTAATTGAATCAGAGTATTCGATGCCGATTCCTATAACACAGTTGATCTTGACTGTATATTGAAAAGTGACCAACTCTATTGCTATCGATCAACACCCAAAAGCTTATCGATAATCTGACACACACACACACTCACATCATCAACACGATCGACATCACCGTGCCTATTGTACTCATTCTGCCACCAGCGAATCTCCCGTCCTTCAGTCCACATGCCACCGGCATTCAATCGAGACATACAACAATTCAACTCGATCGTCAGACTCCGTCCATTGTTCTTCGCGCGTGACCTTGCACTTCTTTCCAGAAACCAAGCATGCACAAACCATGAATAGGTTAAAACTGCTTCTGTCGACGCTCTTTCTGTTGGTTATTCTACAGGTAGGTGATCAATTTTTTATTGAAATGTGCTCAAATTTCCAACTAAAACCGCGTGTGTCCGCAGAACCCCATCGAAACCGAAGCACAGCGGCCACTGATCGTTCAACCGGCGCACACACTTCCGAGCAACCAGAAGCCCCACGACGGCCAAAATGTCCCGCCCAAGAAGTCTACCCCCAAGCCTACCAGCAAACCAACTCCCAAACCGCATCAGGCCGACGTGATCAAAGACCTCCGCGATCGTCTACTGACCGAAAAAGACACCCCGGAGGACATGGTCCAGCACGTCCGGGATAGCTCGTTCCGGAACGCCTTCCACGAGGCAATCGATCAGAAGATTGTCGGTCAAAGCTTCATTCGCACGCTGGCTGCCGTCAGCCAACCACTGGTCAATGATTACGGCCGAGACACGTTGTTGATCGACTCGATTCGGGAGGATTTGAACTTCACGTTCGGCCCCAACGTGACCTGGTGGGAAACGCTGGAGCTGAAGAAGAACGAACAGCACGTCATCGTCGGGCTGAGCAACACCAGTATTTTGATCCTGTTCGAACACTTTGGGGAGTACAAGCTGCAGCAGGAGTTCCCACTGGAAACGCAACCCACGGCATTTGAGATTATCACGGTGTGGGACTCGGTGGCGGAAATTCCCGTCAGCTGTTTGATCGTTTCGACAGAGTTGCAGCTGATTTGGTACACTATGCGACCGGATACGAATTTTGTCCTGACGGAGGAGTGGCGATGGCCGCTCTACAAGATGACGACGTTAATTCGGGCATTCAAATACCGGGACATCCATATGATCTTGCTGATTGGGATTCATCCCAATAAGCACAAGTCCGTTTCGGCTACGCTGTACGAGTTCAACTTTGAACGGCAGCAGTTTTGGTTGCTGCAACGACTTGATCTCGCGTACCCTTGCTATACCGTTGGGCTGGTTAGGGTCGGTAAAGAATTTCTAGTAGCGTTTCCTCAGAACGATACGGCCATGATCTACACGCTGGAAGCCGGCGAAAAGTACCGAGGAAGATTCAACTCGATAGCAAACTACACATCGGAGATGGTCAACACTGTGGGGGCCTTCCAAGTTGGACGGTACGCCTACATAGCGATCGGTGGAAGATCACCGCGGATCGTCCAGTATGCCAACGGTGTCTTCACCTCCCAACGGATCCCAACGGAAACGTTGGAAACGGTTGAAGCCTACTTTGAAATACCCGCTCCAACCTACCGGGACGATCTGATCCTACTGGTTCAGCACAAACTGCTCTTCTCAACTCACGATCTTCAGCGATTGGACGTTTTCGTGTGGAACGGTGCATCATTCGACATCCGAAGCGATATCCCCTGTTACGTGGACGACGAGTTGATGGATAATGAAGTATCGTGCATGTTGGACCTGTACCAGCCGAACGGTATCGCCGGTTCAGCGATCATTCGACGCGGCAAGAAGGTATCGATGATCGTTCCTCGCTTTCACGAACATTCCACACTGTTTCACCTGCACATCGAGATGCTTTCCGCAGAACATCCCATTAGGCAGAAAACTCAGGAGATGCGGGACACAATCGAGGCCTTTACCAAGATCATCCAGTATCAGGACGAAGTGATCAACGAAGCTTTTGCGGCGGTCACCGAAACGGATGCCTATGACGTGCCACTGATGGTGCTGCAAAACTGCTCCTTGGGTACCGTCCAAGCGGACTTGGTCGTACAGGATTCGGAATTTAAATGGGTGGATGGAAAGATCAGGGTTGGGAATAGAACGTGGACACACCGAGATACGAGGATCGACGTTCCGGCGATTGCTCGGGAGATTGAATTGGAACAGATGCGGTTGAATGAATTGGAACAGCAGTTGTCGTTCACGGTACGAAGAGACAACGATAGCTTCTCGTTGGATTTGGAACAACCGCTGTACGTTCAAGGCTGGCTCGATGTGGGAGGATCGCTGGTCACGGATGACCTGTACGTGAGGCGATTGGAGGAAGATCCACCAACACTGCGAGTCCTGCGGCAAACGGATAGCGCGAAGGAGCTGCGGGTGAAAGATCTCAAGGTTCGTCATCTGAACTTCGAAACGGTCAATGGAATTCCGGCGGGAGATTTGGTGTTCAACACGGGTGAGAAGATCGAACTGGCAAACAAACTGATCGTGGATAATACGGTCGTAGCGCAGAATGTGATCCTTCCGAAGGGAGGAACGGTGAACGGGGTGGATCTGAGCGAATTGACGGTGTATTTCAACTGTAAAAATCGGCGGTGGTCTAATCTGAAGTTCGATTCGGTGGAAGTGGCGGAAGATGTTCTGGCGCAGGAGACGATTAATGGGATGAAGCTCGATCTGGAGGACCTGGATGCTCGCCTCCGGCAAGCAAGCGATGACAAGCCGGACGTTTTGGTGGCGGAGAAACTGCAGCTGGATGGAAGTTTGTACTTTCACAGTATTAACGGAGTTCCGTGGAGTGACATCATTCATCGGATCGTGCTTAAGAATAGGCCGAATCGATTGGCAGATTTGAAGGTGAACGGAAGTTTGATACTGGAGAACGATAATATTACGGTGTATCATTTGAATGGGTTGGCCTTCCCGATGGATTATCTGCTGTCCAGCAGTCCGATGGAGTCGATCGTGACCGGGTACAAGCGGTTCGTGAATGCTACAAGTGAGTATGGGTTTCTACCGGGGTCGTGGGGGTTTACTGGTAATTTGATTGATGTTTATGCTTGCACGATTTAATATGCAATGTACGGAACGTAGATTTGATTGCCTGAGCTTATCAAGATTACATTGCTGTAGATTTAAAGACCTATCTGAGCGGTTCCACGCCAAATGACGAATCGAAAAAACATAACTTTCTTAGATTTTAATAAAATATTTCCAATCTCTCCTATCATTGCCAGACATCGACGCCCTGGACATCGAGCGGACCATCAACGGCGTGGACCTCCGGGACATCGTCACCCTGGACGACGACCAGCACATCCCTGGCACCGTAACCATCGGTGAGCTGCACGTAACCGAACGCCTCGAAGTGAAGGGAGCCATCCGTGGTAAGCACCTGGACGAGTTTCTCGATAACCCAACCCTGCTTCAGACGCCCCTCGTGAAAGCCGCTTGCCACTTCAAACAGCTCGTCGTAGAAGGACCGGTGATCGTCCGGGGCCAGCTGAACGGTATGGACGTGGACGCGACCCTTTCAGATGTGGTCTATGACACGGAACACACCGTAACGATCGAGGCATCCAAGCGGATCGCTTCGGCCGAATTCCGCGACAAGGTCACCATCGGGACGAACATGATCAACGAATTCACATTGGATCAATTTGTGACACGAAGCACCGAACAGGAGTTGGATGTTCGGGAGATCAACGGCAACGTGTTCATTCATGACTTGAAGCTGGATGGACAGTTCGATGGGTTGAACGCAACGGCTTTGGACGTCAACTCGGTTAAGCTGTTCGGTGATCAGTACACGGAGACATCGCTGATTTTCAAAAACCGCGAGAATGCTCTCTATCCGGACGTGGAAGCTAAAGAGTTGAAGATCATGAAGACATTGAACTCAAAGACGAGGTCTGAATATTTGGACATGGAACAGGAGGAGATGGTATTCTCCGGAAAGATCACTCTGAACCATTTGTTCGTGGACCACTTGCAGTTGATGGGCTCGAGCCTGGATGGCCCATCGAAGATGATCAACCTGGTGCATTTGCCAACATTCGACAAACTACGGTTCAGCTTAACCAGATCGCAACAGATTACGGCTCCATTCTACATCGACAAACTGGTCGTGGGTAGTCAGATTTCAACGGCCTACGTCAATGGGCGCGACTTCCGAAGCTTGAAAGAGAGTATCGATCGGGTGGATAACTTCAAGAGCCATCTACTGCAGGGAAACATTCCAATCGAGAATCTCTACGTCGGAGGCGATCTGCAGGTCAACATGCTGAACGAAGTAAACTTCGACGCACTACTCAAGCAGGTCATCTGGTTGAACCGACCGAATCGTATCTCGGGAACTATCCGTTTCCTAGATCCTCTGGTGATCGAGGGAAATTTGACGGCCCGTGGTCTGGTGAATAATGCGCACTTTGGAGAATTCCTGGCAGATGTGGCTCTAAAGTCCTCAGGTGTTCCGGAGTTTTATGGAAACAATGTGTTCATAAATGGTTTGGTAGTAGAAGGGAACATCGATACGGAGAGTATCAACAACATCCACGTGAATGAGCTTGCGTTGAGGAATGAAACGATCTACTTGCAAGGGGAAGTGGAAATTCTTGGAGATCTTTTCGTAGATCATCTGCAAATTGATGACCAGTTGAACAAAGAACCAATTCAAAACACGCTGAACACTTACAGCTACGACGAAGCCAGGGACGTCCACATGGTGAAAGGTGATCTGTACCTGTACAATGCCAAGATTGACACGTTGCACATCGCAGGATCACTGAATCAAATCCCGAACGTAGACGCCCATCTGGCGTCATTGATCAGAAAGAACCAGGACTATAACTTCACCAAACCGTTACTGTTCAAGAACGAAGTCTTCTTCGATCACGGCTTTAATGTCAAGTTTTTGAACAAGATGGACATCTCAACTATCCACGAGGACATAGTGCGGATTAACGGGGTGACCCCGGTAGAGATTGCAGCAGAAGTGGTGGTGTTCGCCGAACCGATCTACGCGGAGCACTTGACGATCAAAGGGGATATGGTTGCACCAAATCTAGTTGGATGCAATCCGGACGTGTGGATGAACACAGGAGTCATGATCAACAGAGACGCGGAATTCTACGGTAGGTTCACCCAAGCAAGCGTTGATCATGGATCTTTACAAAGCGCCTTTCTGTTTCAGCTAAAACCTTCTTCGCACCGGGAGCCTTCAAAACGGATCATCTTCGTGTGGATTATCTGAACGGTCAACCGATAAACAACCTGATCACGTTGAACACCGATCAGACGATCGAGACTACGCTGTTCATCCACGAAATGACCATCACTCAACCGATAGAGGTTGGCGGATACGTCAGTGGAGTCAGCCTACCGTACGAGCGACAGAATACGCTCATGGTAGGGAACCGCTTGCGGTGCAGGTTTTTCATCTCGATGTTCAAAAATTCATTCGCTTTATTTTCAGACCTACGGCAACCAGCGTGTCCGTCTGCCAACAGTCTTCCACTCGCTCAAGGTGCTGAATTCTCTCACCCTTCCATCGGTCCTGAACGGCAAGCCCTTTGGGCCACCCGTTGCCATCGGACCGGAGATGGTGATCGAGTCACCCATTTCGTTCCGACATTTGATCGTCAACTCAGTGGAAACGGAAGATATGATCTCCGGTGTGGATTTTAACCAATGGTACGACAACAGTCTGTGGAGTAAGGGACGCGATCATCAGGAAATTCACGCGACGGTCACAGCTCAAAATGTCCGATTCGATGGGGACGTAGAAGGTAACGGTAAGATCAACGGAGTTGACATAATGGACGTGGTCAAACGGATGAAGGCTGCCAAGAAGAACGTGGAAGATCAGCTACACGACTACCGAACGGAACTGCGATCGTTCTGCTCCAACACCAAAAGCTTGGTGGACAAGACGCAGAGTCGGATGTACTTCTTCAGGTACTTTGTACAGCGGCAGGTCATCAACGAACACCTGCCGATCGTATCGTTCTTCTTCTTCGATCATCTGGGCTACCACTTCTTGGGAGTGAACATGGGCTGTGAAAGTCACTTCTATCAATGGGATCCGACGGGAAAGGCTTTTGTACCAATCTTCAAATTCTACACTGGGCTTGTCCAAGAATGGAAGCATGTGGTCAACGGGGATGAAGCGGTCTATTTGGTGACGCGATCGCCTAGTGAACTCACGGAATGCCAAGTCCTGGGTCTTAGCGTGTGGTTATTCACCGGAGTACAGCTACAGCTGATGTGGAATATGCCCGATGCGGACTTGGTGCAATCCGTAGCAGTAGACCCAGCGAAACCGACAAGTTTCTACGTGTTGAAGCCGGGCGTGGTGATCGAGTATGGAGTTGACGGCAGTACGCAGGAACAGTGGAAACTCCCGAAGACCGTTTCGGAGTATGGTTTCGTGCCTAGTAAAGTTGGGTTGGGGTTGGCATTGAGCGATAGTAAATTGTTGGTGTTGTTGTCTAACGTGGAAAACGTTAAACGGGTTGCTTCGAATGGATCCCTTGAAATGGCACTGTTTTCGTCTCAGTCGCTGCACGATCGCTTGGGAAAGACGTACCTTGATAAGCTGCCAAATTCGTCACGCAGTTTATTGGAAATCAGCGAAATTATTCATCCGGAAAACCTATCTCCTGTGGAAGGAGATGACCATTTCGGCAACGATACGGTTATTCACGTCGTAGAACCTGCCTCAGTTGACACGCCGAATCCTCCGGTTAGCGAAGACGAAGCTATCGCAGAGACTACAGTTGCCAGAGATGTTCCGCATGGCGGAATCTTGACGGCAGACAATCCGCACTTCCCTGAGAGATCCAAGGGGGACGTGGTGGCGTTCCTAGCAGGCCCGCACAACAAGAAGCGTCATCTGGTGGCTGTTTCCACCGTTGTTCATACCGTCGTCCAGGGAGATCAGGACGCGATCAAGGTAAGATCGGGTTCCAATAGGTTTCCGCTTTCAGTTCTAACATCAAAACTCGTTCGCAGATCTACTCCGATATCCAAATGGGAAAGCTGTACCAAGTCCTACAGTGTCACCGTCCTTCGCACCTGACGGCCTTGGAACTCCGCGACGAGACGATCCTCGCTTTCCTGGAGTTGCGGCAAACGGTCCAGATCTACATCTACCGCGGTATGCAGGGATTCGTTCGGCTCAGCAATTTTAAACTTTCGTCCCCGGCGGTGCAGCTGGCGGGAGTTTCCCTACCGCAACCGTCGATGATCCGCTGTAAGCTGCACTACCTGGCGATCGCTACCGAACAGCACGAATTGATCCTGCTCCGGGCCAAGACGCAGGGCCACTGCGGGCTGATGGTCCACGTGGAGTGCGACGATGTGGAATGATTCGTTTGTTTTGTATATGTGATGTTGTGCAATGTAGGTTGCAGTGAATTGTTATTGTTCATGGTTTATAAAAGTTTTATATAGTTGTTTTGAACTGGTGTAACAAGTTGCAAATTATTTCACATTCTCGCCCGTTTACATTACATTAGGAGACGCCCCTCGATGTGAAAAAGAACGCCTCACATCTCCATGCTTTTCTACACGGTCAATGAAATCAACCCAAATTTGAGTCCAGTTTACTCATAATCACTTAGTGATTTATGAGTAAACTGAACTCAAATTTGGATTGATCTCATTCGCCGGGATAAATCCGACAAATTTTTCCACCCGGATCCCTTTTCCTCCGAAGAAAATCCTATCTCAAACTCCCATCACTGCCCTCTCATACACCCATACACTCACATTTTGCGCAAAGCCGAGAGGGACTAGACTCGGCAGTGCAAAAACCAACACCACGTTGAGGGAGAGAGCAGCGGTTAAAATTTTTGACAGTTCTCTCTCGGCCGTGCTGCAAAACGGTTGCGTCGCGTCGCGTGTGTTATTGTTTATCGTCTTTGCGGTGCAAAAAGTGGCTTCCAATCAGCGTGTTGTGTCTGGCTATAGTTTGTTGTGTTTTGTGCCCCGTGCAAAATTGTGAAAACCAAATCGTGATTCGCGTGAAAAGTGCGAAACACTTGTGGATCATTCCGCCGCTAGAGGTAGGTGTTCTCTGTGATGAATTCGCAATTCTTCCTCCATCGATTGGCGGCACTCCCTTTATCACTGATAACAAAGCATCGGCTGGAGAACAAAGACTAACCGGAGGGAGGCGGGGGGCCTTGCCTCTGAGGTCAAGGAAATGGCCTTCCATCAAGCTACCAAACGGAGCTGACTTCCATGATGATAATCGCAAATTCGAACCCTTTCAAGCGGGGAAATGACGAGCAACATCCTTGAAGGAAACGCATTCACTGTGATGTTGCCTGGAAAATCCAGACGGATTGCGATCAATACTTTTTCCTGCCCATTCCTCTCGGTGGCTCCTTGGCTCCACCGCACCAAGCTTGACTTCAAGTGTTTCGGTCTTCTTTTGCACCAGGATTAACTAGGGCTCGGGAAAAAGTTGGACAGTTATCCTACTCACGTTTGCGGAAAAAAGGGGAGATCATTTTCCTGCTGGAAGAAAGGGTTTTGTCGTACATTCCCCCCCCATTGCATTGTAGCGGTAGCTGTTGATAGGTGTTGTAGGTGTTTTAGCTTTTGTTTTTTTTTGCGGATGAAGTTCCATCATTCATTCTGTGACGAATGAAAACGGAAAGGGAATGTAGGAGGATTGTTGCCATGTAATTCCTGGTGCGAGGATTTTCTTCCTTCGCTTTTCAATCTTCTAGGGGAGTTTCGAATGACAGGTGCCAACATTGCGAGGCGGCCAGGATGGCGCATGTGCAAGTACTCCAAGGCAGTGGTGGCATTTTTCTTGGGGATGGGAGGCTTGGTTTTGTGTAATAGAATGCACAGTGGATTTTGTCTTGGGTCTTAGGTGTTTTGTGTCTTTGGTGAACCTTTTTTTTTTCGCTAAAAAAATCCTTCTTTTGGTCGTTTTTTTTTTAAATAAGGATGGTCCTAGAAGCTATTGATATTTTAAAATTAGCTTTATTAATTTTGAAAATAGAGGCACAGAGAAAAGGAATTGCCTGATCTTATGCCAGTTTTTGTACTGTAACTGAAAAAAATTAAAAGTTTCCCTCAAATATTATTGCAGATTTGGGAAGTGTTCGGCACGGATGGCAGAGGATTTAAAACAAGCTGTCCCGAGCTTGTTTAATCACGCGAAGGTTTACTTACCACGCCGAACGGTTTGGATGGTACACCGTTGCCCTGTTCAAGACGCTAAGACAGTTACTCTACTAAATTAAGAGACTGTTACAATAGCGTGGTTCAGATTTTGATAGAAAGAAAAGGAGTGCCTTTAGCATCAGGTGTTTGGACTTTGATTGTAACTGAGGACTGAACTTCTCACTAAATTAGAGATTCTGGTCTCATCAGTAATCTTAGTTTAAAACCTGATGAAGGTACTGGCTGGAAGGAATTCGGATCTTAACAGATCGACAGACGTTTTAAGACTAACGAAAACATTCAGTTTATTAAGTTGAAAATTTGCCTTATATAGGGGTTTAAGCCTAGAAAGATTTGTCTTTGTATTCCTGATCTAAACTTATCCATCGTTCTCCTTCAAGATCATGTGATGCATTTTGGGACCAACGCAATCCTTCCAGAATAATCTCACATGTATGCATACGTCTAGGATGCACTTGACTCCTACGCAGCGCCTATACCAAAGCTAAACTGGTGAAAGCGTATATTTTCCATATGCTGAGTTTATTGCCTTGTTTTATGCTGCATGCACCCGTTGGGTACATCCTACTGAGCAAACGAGAGTGTACCGCATATGCGTTCTCTAATTACATAGAATTGACCTATAATATTGTGTCATTTTCGTTGCTCTCGTGTTCATTGAACCTGACTACCTGACGTGGTTTTTTTCGCCACAAGCTGTCTTCGGGCGCGGACGCATTTGCATTTTGGTCCGCAAGTAATTTGTATATATATAATTTTTTTTTTACACTTCGACAACGACGCGTGTGGGTCTCGCTGGCCATTTGTCCTTATAGTATTCGTCGAATATTTACAACATAAGCAGTTATGCCGTGCGGTGTAATATCATGCAGTATCAACGACGACCGCTTTCTATGGAAGTGCGAATTCTGCAACAAAAAATACCATGCTGCCTGTGTCGGAGTACAGCGACAACGGGAGCATTTCATCACGGCATTCATGGTGCCAATGTGTGCTGACTGCCAGCACATTTTACGGAAGGAAGCCGACGTGAGGAAGCTGCTTCATCAACAGGAGCAACTTGTGGAAGCAATCCACTCTCAAACGGACGCGAATCACCGCATTGCTGCTGACCTAAACAAAGTCTGCTTAGTATCAGAATTATTCGACAGCATTGAGCACCTGCTCAATGACGTAAAAGAAACGTTGGCAGTAATAAATAAAAATAATAATAACATGTGCAGCGCGGTCGGCCAGCATATGAAAACGTGTGATTCACAAGCGCACGCGACAATAACCGGCATCAACGAATCAAATTAGTTGATGTCACAAAAAATTACAAAATTACTTGACGAACGGCTATCAAGCTTATCAAATGACATGGAACTTTCAATAAAAGGGGCCGAATCATCACCTCATCATCATCATCATCCAGAGCCAAAACTTCTGGAAATTCTCGAGGAAGTGAAATTTGTATCTGGGGCTGTTTCTAGTCTTCAGATAAATGCTGCAGAACCTCATCAGAAGACCTTGGAGGAAGAATTAGCTGAAAGTCCTCCAGTACACAAAAATACAATATCTACAAAAACTGACCATTCATCTCCTGGATGGCGGTTTTTAGGCAACAAATGGCACTGGAAGCAAGACTGGTCTAAATTTGACGCAAAACAACGGACTCGCAGGTTGCAGGAAAAAGCTGCAGAAAAAGCCAAACGCTGCAGAAAACGACGAAAACAACAACAAATTCATACCAGCAGTACCAAAAACATCATCCAAGGAAATGAATACAGCCGCTACAACTACGCCACCTCCGACAACAACACCATCAACAATAACAACAACACCAATAACAACAACAACAGCAACAACGACAACAACAACAACTACTACTACAACAACAACAACAACAACAACAACATCAGCAACAACGGAAATGGAAATATCACATGAACATCATTACCCCTGGACAAAGAATTATTAGCCGCAGCACGCATACAATTTTCTGGACCACCAAGTAAAGACAATACACCGAAATTTATAAATTTTCAAAAAGGGGAAACTATTAACCCTTACCGCATAGAAAAACCTAACCCACCACTCCTAGACCCTATGCGCCCGCCTGTCGTAAGGCTTACGGAACAATCTGCAGCCGGCGACAGACGCTTTTTGAAGGCACGCCTGCGGGACCCTAAAATCATGGATACTGTGCGAACCTATCTGTCTTTCCTGCATAACCAACCGCCTTCAGTATGTGTCCGCGGAATAACGAAAACAAGTTCAACTTTAATGCTAGCAGCCGAAGGATTACCAACGGACACACAACTTTTGCGCGAAATTTTTCTGGACGTTCACGAAGAACTTGGAATCCCACGCATTGACGCCCTGGCAGACCTGGAATCACACCGTGCGTTCTTATCTAGTGAACGCACACAACGACTGCAGCACACACGGGAAGCCGCATATAAATTCTACAGCACCCAAAATTTTCCTCGACATTGACGCACACTTCGGAAGAAACCTCATCAAACGCCAACACTCTTCGGACACTTTCAGAAGAAAATGGAAATGTAAGTGTAAATAATAATAATAATGAAAATATTTTATCAACCAACGTACTTCCAACAATTTCTACACATAAACAGAATGGGACTGAAATTTTGATTTACTGTCAAAATTTAAATCGCATGAAAAGCCCAGCTAAAATGAAGGAAATCTATCAAAATTTATTATGCTCATCCTTCTCGGTCATTCTGGCAACTGAAACAAGCTGGGACGAAAGCGTGAAAAGTGAAGAAATCTTTGGAAATGCCTTTAATGTATTCAGAGACGACAGAAATTTTCATGCAACTCAGAAGAAGTCAGGCGGTGGAGTCCTTATAGCTCTTTCGACCAATTTTAACTCAGAACTCAGCATTACACCAAAATTTACAGAATTTGAGCATATTTGGGTGAAATCACACATAGCCGGTGAAACGCACGTGTTCGCCTCAGTGTATTTTCCACCAGACCATGCTCATAAAAGCACTTATGAAGCCTTCTTCCAAAGTGCTGAACAAATTCTATCTGAGCTTCCTCCTGAGGTTAAAGTTCACATCTATGGAGACTTTATTCAACGCCATGCTGACTTCATTCTGGACTCTGAAAATGAATGTATCTTACTCCCAGTCGTTGGGGATAATGAAACATTGCAGTTCATTTTTGACAAAACTGCTAATTTAGGACTGAACCAAATTAACCACATCAAAAACCAACAAAATTGCTATTTGGTC